TCATAAAATCTGGATCCAGAAATGAAAATAGTAGTATAACGCCTGCAGCGTGCTAACTGTTTTCATAGAAAATAGCAATTAAGGCATACAAATCAGAATTCGCTAATAAAAGGCGAGTGGAGGGTTTTCGCAGAGACCCAATTATAATCATGGCTTTATATTCCGCTATTCAATAAAACTAGCAGTAAATAAATTAGATATGTAGCTAACAGTTATAGTTATCACATATTTATATGGATAACTTGTTACTTATATTTAAAATCTTTGATGGATTTTCTCAAAATGTGATGAATGAAAATCACAAAATAAGAAGTATAAAAGTTAGTAAGTTACTAACTATGATCTTTCTTATAGTCAATAAATTGACTAAAGGCATTTCCCCCCAGAACAAAGTATGAAAATATATTATCATAAACATGCCTAGTAATGTTATATGTGATTGGGAAACTCAAATATAGTTTCCTCTTGAAAATATCCTAAATATATCCTCTAGTTTATCTTGAAAAATCCCTAATGGATTTATAATTCCCGAAATGAGGATTTATTTAAGTGTCATTATTTACTTTTTAGAGAGTTGCGAATGGGGTTATTATCCTCATATAGAAGGAATAATATGTACCATTATGTGCTCAATAAAGAGTTGATAATGGACTTATTTATTATCTCAGTCAATATTTGTGGTGTAAACATCAATGAAATATATAAAGAGTTTAATGATGTTAAGTTATGAGATGAGATAACGAATAGCAAATCAATGTACAAATACTCGTATTGATGCTTTTTGGCATGAAGTCATCATACTTGTTACAGATAAAAACGTATATAGTTTTTCATGATATAAAATACCTTGATCCACATGAACTCCAGAAGAGTGATAAAATATTTGTTCAGAAGGTTTGCTCTAGTGACAAGTTAGCAAATGTATACCTACAAATATTCATAAGATTGATATGTGTAAGTAAAGAAAAATTATTATATTTAGGGGAGCAACAAAATATAAACTATAAATTAAATAATTTTATTAGTCCAGATGATCATAAGAAAATATGATGACAATCCTGAAGATTGTACCATATCCCTTCTCTGCACCATTTAGAAACAATGATTTTACAGGCAATATAGAATTTGAAGATTGTTATCTTCAGGGGAGACAGGAAGTACATTCACTCGAGTCAATCCTGTAGATTGGTCAATCATATAAGATTGGGTCTTAAAAGGACTAATAGTTATACTTTTTTTGCAGCATATACATATCATGTAATCTTTTCCTCACTAGGTTTTTCCCAATGGGTTTTCTAGTGTGGTTTTTAACGAGGCATGAGTATGATATAGTAATGACAATGGGGAAAAGTTGCAAAATAATTGGTTAATAAATGAACAAACTTCAAAATCCTGAAGATTATGCAGATTATGTCTTGAAGACTTATAGTTGTACTCTTTTTCCCTTAACTAAGTTTTTCCCACAGGGTTTTCTTGAGTTAAGGTTTTTAATGAGGCAACCAATACAATATATGATTTTTACATATATCATGTACTCTTTTCTTCAACTGGGTTTTTTCCCACGTGGTTTTCCTAGTGAAGTTTTTAATGAGGCGTGAATATATTTTCTACTATACTCTTTTCTTGTCTAGGTTTTTCCCACAGGGTTTTCCTAGCAAGTCTTTAACGAGGCAAGGTCATGGACAAATAATGTCCAAGGGGGAGTGTTATAAATATATCATTATGTGGACATTATTATAGATTATATAACAGTTGTAACAGTTTTTTATTTATGTCTCCATTATGTCTTCCGTTATATTTGTATATTATATATAGATGTGTTATGGTTGTATGTAACACATAGAGATGAATGGATATGAGATTCCCCTTTTTCTCTCTATTCTATTTTTCCCTTATAACATGATATTAGTAGAATCTATGTTACGCTGGAGAGATAGCATTGATAGCATTGAGGGAATCGAGAGAGAGAGAGAAAATTCAGACAATATGATAGTGCTCAGAGAATATGTACAAGAGATTCTGATTCATCATCCATCAAAAGACTCCAGTGTACAATATAAATGCTTCCCTATAAATTACGAAGCATAACTAACTAATGAAGCATAATGACCACAAACTAAGTCTTCATAACATGCTAAGATAATGGCCATACACAGAAAATAATTACAACTTCAGACATTTTATCATCTAATTATAATTTTTTGTGTCGTAATAAACAACATTAGACTCTAACACTTTGTCCATATTTTTAGTGCTATCTTTTACGATCATAGACTTTAAAGTTGATATCTTTTAATAATTTCACTTTAAAAAGATTAGACCTTATTTTCAAATTATCATATTTGTATTCATTCACTTTTTCTTTTTCTTTTTTTCTCTAATTACAATTTCAACTCACTTTCAACTAACAAATATTATTATATATATGAACGCAAGTTATATTCTTTATTTTTTCCATATTTTTAGTGCTAATAAATTTGTATATCGAATTTAAAATGATGTACGTTATATTTTAGCTTCACAAAATTGTCCCGTTATAACTCCATTATTATATTAATCTCCTATATATTAGCACTAATCAATTGAGGAACATTTATTGATCATTTTATTAAGGAAATTAAAACAAACTAAAGGATATATTATGAAAATTTAATTAATCATATTACATTTATTAGTCATTATATTATTTTTATATAAAGTTATTGGCTCACATATTTGACAATAGTTATGCCGTGCAACCGAATGTACCATGCGCATGGTGCATATGATGCAAAACGACGTCGTTTTGACTAAAAACGCGCGTCCCACTTTAAAAAAAAAAAAATCAGGTTCGACTCTCGGCAATAGCATTATTGTGGATATATAGTTATGAATTTGTGGATATATAGTTATAAATTTGTGGATATATAGTTATGAATTTATGGATATATAGTTATGAATTTCTGGATATATAGTTATGAATTTATGGATATTTAGTTCATTCATTGTGGATATTTAGTTCATTCATTGTGGATGTTTAGTTCATTCATTGTGGATTTTTACTTCATTCATTCATTCATTGTGGATTTTTACTTCATTCATTCACTGTGGATATATAGTTATGAATTTCTGGATATATAGTTATGAATTTCTGGATATATAAAAATGCTATTACCGGGAATCGAACCTGATTTCTTCTTTAAGTGGGACGCGCATTTTTTTAAACCAAAACGGCGCCGTTTTGCAACCGTATGCACCTTGCAAGGTGCATTCGGTTGCACAGCATAATTTGCGCATATTTGAATTATTATAATTTTTATCATTATAAATGAAAACAATATGGTAATTATTGGTTTTAGGGTTTTTGAGCCCAGGGAAGTCCAACACAACCGTGGTTGGTGGATTCACCTTTCAAATAAAGCTAGCTAAAAATATGGGCTCGATAATTTTTACGTGGAAACCGAAAGGTGAAAACCACGGGCCTTTTTGGGTGGTGCCAAGCCTAAATTCACTATATATTTTGTAGGTGTTTTTGTACATATTGTAGAGCTATTTTGTACATGTAGTAATGTAAGAATAAAGCTATATCCCCTTCTTCTCAAATATTTGGGGCCTCCTTGTAGTGAGAAAGAGCTAGTGTGAGGTTTTCTCGTATAGAAAAGAGTGGTGGAGTCTTCCTTGGGTATTTTAGGTGGAAGAGTGCTTGAACTAATGTAGGTGGGAGTCTTTCTATGGGTGTGTAGATGAATGAGATGCCCCCTCCTTGTGCTCTTCTTCTCCTTCTTATAGCTAGCTCATCTAAAAATGTCCGTTGAGAAATTTAGTAGGGTATTGATGGGTAGTAAATGGGGTAACAAATGGTAGGTTATGATGAGGTAAGTAAATAGGTGTTTTAATAGGACTTTATGAGTAGATAATTAGAGGGGTTAGGAATTGAGGGTAATAATTAGGAGATTAATATGGGTTAACGGCTAGTTTAATTTGACTTTAGGTGGGCCAATCGGGGTTAGGCGGTCCAATTAGGCCCAAATATTGAATAGCCATCAGTAATAATTAATTTATGATATTTATAAAATTGTATTTTTTTTTTTCAAAATGGTTGACATATTATTTTGATGTGCTAAAAATAATATTTTTAATAAATATTTTTTATTTTTTAAAGAAGTTTTACCGATATTAATATATTAGGCTCAAACTTTCGCATATTATGCATAAAAATGCCCAGTCATAATAGTAATAGTAATAGTAATAGTAATAGTAATAGCCACCTTTAAAAGAAATTTGAGCCAATTCACAAAAATATATCTAGAATTCTTTTGCTGTACAAAAGTATATTTGAAAGTCAAACTCTTGCAAGCTTTCAAGACTTTTATACATGAAGTAGTAACATAACGTTACATGTGAATGCAATTTTATCTTTGGGAATAAAGAGTGTAACATACGATTGTATCCCGTGGCAAAAAAAAAAAAAAAAAGGTATTATTTATATATCTTAATTAACCGTATTATACTATAAAGAAAAATAATTATATCCCATCAATAAGTGGTTAATTTTGGCTCATCAGACAGTAACAACGCCATTTTGGCTCATCAGAAAGTAGCAACACCATTTTGGCTCATATGTCTTATGTTACATTGTTGAATATTTCATATGGATGTTGGTTCATTAATATTAATATTAATATTTTTTCCACATCTTTGTCACAATATTATGAGCCGGCTAATCAAGAAGAGTGATTTTATTGGCGTTGTTTCACATTAGATTTAAAAAAAAAAAAAAAAATTACTTGTGGAGTACCTTAAAACATGTTTAAAAATGGGATAGAAAATTTTGACCATCCAATTCACATTTATTTTATAAACTTTTCTTCCCCTATTTTTGTTCTTTGGTTGTGAGGAGGTTTACCACAAGAAAAATGAGTGGTAATGCCACTTGTCTAGGATTTAGTTATGGTCTAAAATCAAATATATGTCAGTATAAATACTTTAGTATTAAATACATTCTTCAATCACTTAATAAACAGTGTTCGATCAAACCTCTTTGAATAAGAAGAAAAGTTGAGGTTCGGTCGGTTCAATTCAAAAGGGTTGAACCCAAAATAGCGGTTCAACCCCTATCAAAATAATATTTTTTTTTTTCTTTAGGAAAAAAAAAATAACCATCAAAATGGAGAGATTTAACAAAAATAATTGCTTCTTCTTGTTCGTGGTTTCTGTTGCCGCGATAATTCCCGCAACGGTTGGTCACATTGCTGAGTATGATGAGGTGTGGCGGAGGCGAGCAGCTGAAGCCTGGAAACATGCCCAACAGGCTTATGAGCCCAATCCACATAACATTTCTGCTTCCTTGATTCACCAAGTTCGAAGGACATTGTCAGAAGCCGTAGCTGAGGATTTGACGACGAACACCACAGGTCGGCATCTTCTTGGTTCAAAAAAGTATCGTGGGCCGTGTAATGCGACAAACCCGATCGATCGTTGCTGGCGTTGCCACGCCGATTGGGCTAGCAACCGGAAGAGGTTGGCTGATTGCGCAATGGGGTTTGGGTACAAAACCAAAGGCGGCAAGTCTGGCAAATTCTACACCGTTACAGACAAGTCCGATGATCAATCAAACCCCAAACCCGGAACCCTCCGACACGCGGTCATCCAAAAGAAACCCTTGTGGATAATCTTCGCACACGACATGAACATCAAGCTCCACCAGGAGTTGATCATGCAAGGTGATAAGACGATCGATGGGCGTGGGGCCCAAGTCCACATCAGCCATGGCGCCGGTATAACCATTCAGTTCGTGAAGAACGTGATCATCCACGGGATCCACATCCACCACATCTTCGAAGGTAACGGCGGCCTGATACGAGATGGCCTGGACCACTTTGGACTGCGAACCAAGAGCGACGGCGATGGCATCTCCATCTTTGGTTCTTCCAATGTTTGGATAGACCATGTGTCGATGAGGAACTGTTACGACGGGCTTATTGATGCGATCGAAGCATCCACGGCCATCACAATTTCGAATGGTCACTTCACAGATCATAATGATGTGATGCTGTTCGGTGCAAATGATTTGTCCACAAAAGACAAGATCATGCAAATCACCATTGCTTTCAACCACTTCGGGAAGAGATTGATTCAGAGGATGCCCAGATGTCGGTTCGGATACATCCATGTGGTGAACAACGATTACACACACTGGAACATGTACGCCATTGGAGGGAGTGCTAACCCCACCATCATCTGTCAGGGAAATCGATTCATCGCTCCTCCAGACATACACAAAAAAGAGATAACTCATAGAACTGCGGGGACTCCGGCAGAATGGAAGACGTGGACATGGAGATCAGAGGGAGATATATATATGGGCGGAGCTTTCTTTGTTCAGTCGGGAGATCCAGATTTCATGAAAAAGCATAATGAATTGTACGATGGGGTACAGACATTCAAGGCTGAGGATGTGACTTGGCTTACTAGGTTCGCAGGGGCGCTTAATTGCAGAGTAGGATCGCCTTGTTAGATTGCATTATTGCATTCCGGCTGGCCACTCATGTAGCATTATATTATTTTAGAGTTAATAACCAAAATGGTCCATCGATTGTGTTGTAATTATATTTGATCCTCAATTATTATTTTTACTCAATTAAGTCCTATGTAATTTTTACTCAATTTAATACTCTGTTAATTTATCAATTTGTTGACTATCATATCAAAATTTGGAGCAAAATTGTAATTCTATAAGCTTTCTCCCATTCTTGCTCAAGTGAAGCAGCCAAGCTCCTGAACCTGACTTAGTGAAGTTGGAGCACTGTTGTAGGGTGATGAGGGTGTACGTGAATCCTTTAGGTAGATCCCTTTTTCCTTTTCACGATTCTCTTGATTTTTAGTAGTAAAATAATAAAAAAGACTAGATCTTTCAAACTGGGAAATAGGGTTTTTGTCATCCATTTTCTTTGATAGGAGTTTCTGCCAAATCTCAAAGCTTATAAATGGTCCATACTGATACTTGTTCACCGTCCTACCACCCGCGCGCATTGATATCATTCAAACACCTATCCATTGAATTCATAGATTTACATAAACATATGAAATAATGAACCCAGTTACTATCTTTGCTTTTGATTTTGTTGCAAGCAATTGAATTATATTTCTAACTAAAAAACGATTTATGTATGACATGAAGCTTTTGATGATTGATTCCGGTATGAAGCTTTTGATGATGGATTCCGGTCAATACTTGTTGATATGACCAGAGAAGATCAACTAAGGGTAGACTTTAGAAATAAGAGAATGAAGAAATATTGAAATACTAGGATGTTCCAATCACAACAATATAATTATCTTAAAACTGAAATGTATAATTAAAAAATGTAATATTGTTGAATATTAGTTCTCCAAACGAGTGAGGTACTTGTAGCTCAACAAATATCCAATAGCAGAATTTAAAAAATGCAATATTGTTGAATATTAGTTCTCCAAATTTTGCTTGATTTGAAATGTTATTGTTGAGATTTGAATTGCTCTAATACCACTTGTTAAATCAAGCGCTTACAACTCACGCAAGAATTGATCTGGTAAAGTAGCAAGTTATGGCAATCTATTATAGTTTAATGTTACTAAGAACTTTGTTCTGTCATGCAATCGTGTTGTACATACAATGAATATGATGAGGAATGTAAAGATATCAAAAATCGAGTTGTAGATGCTGCTTTTGAAGCAAAATACAGAATTGATTCATTTTTTTGAGGGAACATCCTCTTTGGTATTATTTGTTGGCATTTTTTGGTCAGAGAAAAGATTTTGCCCATTAAAAGATGGGTCATTACGATTTTTAACAAGAATCTGGAAGCTAGAGGTAAAAGTGCTCAAGAGATGAACACCCAAGTATTAAAGCGCTATTATATTGTCAATTTTATATTGTGTATGTCTCATATGTATTAGATTAGAAGATAAAATATATGTAGCAGAGTGTTATTATCAGAGCAAAGTATGTATATGAGTGTTATTATCATAGTATGTTGGGGTGCGGGAAAATGCCCGACCCTTGTGATACAATACATTGTATTTTTTTTATTATTATTATTATCATTTGACAATCTGATATGTATAACTGCACAAAGATTCAGATTAATAGATAGATGTATTTGTAGTGTTGTGTCAAGTTGAGGACATAAAAGATCTGCTTACTAAACTCTCTAGGCATCGAGTGACTACCTACTATGAATTCGTAGCAAGTTAACAGAAAAAAATATTACCTACCCCAGAAATAGATTGGTGGAATAATGTGTTTCGATCTTTTTCAGGTTTTTAAATGATTTTGTTTTATAAAGTTATGAGAGCTTAGTATATATAAAATGTATTTTCATTTTGAAAAAAACTTGTAAGTCTTGAATGTATGTATGTAGTATTGTTGGATTTTGGCTTTAATGCTCAGAACTCTTTAATATTGAGTGTTTTTTACAAAGTTTGAACCTCCAATATTGTAATTGCATTAACAATTCACTTACTAATTACATGTATATGAGTTTCATATATACTCATTTTATTATAGTTGAAGTAAAGTTAAAGGAACACAATATATGTTTGATCATTAGTTAAATAAATAAGGATAATTGCTTATCATTCAAACCATGAAAATGTTTATTATTATAAACATTTAGTTTGCAAGTCTTTTAAAGCATCAACTCTCTTTCTCCCCTATCCGTATCCGTATAAACAAAATATATTTGTAACGTAATATTAAATTAAAGGAAAGACTTTGGCGGTATTCAATGAAACAAATATTAATATAATGCAACAAAATGAACAGAACACAAGCAAGCGTATATAATCCATAATACAATATTACAGAAACATATAGGAGAAGAGACGACCATGCATGCATATATGGAAGGAGCTGAGAGGGCAGAGAGAGATCGAGCAGGCTTAATTAACGAGTCATTTTTGAGGTAATAGGCATTGGCGGCACGGTAAGAACTTCCCTTCCCAAAATTTCAGCATTGCCTTCCCACCCTGTAAGTGCGTATAGTATGTAGGTACAATCATTTTAGCTATCTTAGCTTAGCAGTTAGCATAGCATATATATATATATATATATGATCGATGGAAGGAAATAAAGAAGGTAGCTAAACGTACCGAGAGAAGGATCGATGCCGCGATTTTTGAGTTCTCTGTACTCTTGGGATAGAGAACAGACGCAGCAGCAACAATGAAGCAGATGATCTGAGGAAGGAGCTTCCGGCAAGTTGAAGAGTTTACGCAGTTTTGAACGGTAAATGCTTCCGTATAGCCATCCGCAGTGAATGCTTCCCATAGCATACGAGATTAGGCATCCAACACCACTGGCTGTTCATATATGATATAATATAATATATTTCCAAGCTAGCTTAAATGGTCGATCGCAAGGTAAATATAGCTAGCTAAGCTAGTGAAAATAATTAATTTGAGTACTACTACTTACATGTTGTTCCTCTATCAAGTATCTCAACAAGCTGCCCATGGATAACGCACGGACAAACACAACTCTTAACACCTTCAATTCCATCAAAACCAAACAATAATCAATCAAATCAAATAATTATATATCCATATCGTCTATGGTATTTAAGTTATGTTCTAAAAGATCGATATAAAGGATGAAGGAAAAGACTAATTATATTTAAAACCACCAAAAATCAGATAGATAGATAATTACAAAGGGAAGGGTCATCCCAACAATCATAGAGTCCAGTAGTCCACTGGCCTTCCACTTCGAGGCTCAATTTTGGACCCAACTTTTCTGTATTATTCATCCTAGCTGCTTTCAATTCGGATAGATTACCAAACAAACTAACCTGCTAAAGCTTTAATTTGTTTGTATATCTATCTGTATTAAGGTTTCAGGTATATATATATATATATATATATATATATATATATATATATATATATATATATATATATATATATATATATATATATATATATATATATGTGCAGGTAGGTAGGCAATCATCTGATCTGGCAATGTGCCTACCCCATTCTTATACTACGTGATGCTAGCTGATAATGAATTTTCTTAGAAAGTTCACGAAAATCTGCAGTTGACTTTCAATCACATTTTTATAACATGGTTTTCTTGACCACAAATAAATAATGAATTTCTTATTATTTTAAATAAGTGATTATCCGCTTCATCAAGTTACGTTTATATGTATTTTACTGTTATTATTATTATTAAGTTTATCTGTTTAGGATAGATTATTGTTACTGTCATTATACAAAATTATAATAAGCATTACTACTTGAGCTAGCCATGCTTACGTAGAGTTACATTGAGCATTGAGGTGATAATATTGATTATTTAGATTGAGCTTTGATTTTAATCTCCCAATTATATTGTTATTTAATTTTTTAACTTTAATTTGAAGATGTACTCAACTATCAATGTTGATAGCATGCAATATATAGGCTTCCAACTATTCAAGTTTATTAAAATTTTAGAAACTCAAAAGAGATTAATTCAATTATTTATAATTATGTATTTGGGATACTCCATATTACATTATATTCCAACTTACTTAGATATTAGTTAGTTTAATGCCAAAAATTAGTTAATTAAGCTTTCGCTATTTTTGCCGCAGGAATCATGACGAACAGACATTGCAACTTATGGAATATTTAATTTATTTGGCAACGAAATCTTTATCGTACAAGAAACCATTGTTATATATTTCAAGCCACCTTAGACGTTAGAGACAATGTGCACAGAAAAATAAATTTTAATAAAAAAAATGAAAATAAAGAAAAGAGAAAATATGTGAAATTTGACTTTTTCAAAAATCTTATGTGATCATAGGTGGGGTGTCTTTCTCACTCTAAGGAAGTCTACCATCATATATATAATATACTGATTTAAGGTATAACTTAGTTTTTAAAATTTTATTCAAATAATAAACTCAAATTTCAATTTGATTATACTAGTATTAACGAATAATGGTATGCTAAAGGGTTAGTTGTAAATAAGAATTTTCGCTGCTCATGAGTATACAATAATATATATATATTTTTTTTTTTTGAATGCTACTAGCTCTATTACATTGTAGTATCTGTTCATATACTTTCTCAACCTACTGAAACACAAAGAGCTAATAACGCCTCCACTAAGGCTCGAACTTACAACCTTCCAAATGGAAGTCCAACCCGGATACCATTAGACCACATAGTCCTGGTATACAATAATATATATAATTTAGCAAGTTTTACTGATTTTCATGCATGAAATAATGTTTAAGCCAGAAACATAATTATTAAACTAAACAATTGATTATCATAACTAAATAATAATGTCTAGAACTTGCATGAAAGTTGTAAATACATAAACAAAGTACCAAAAGTAATATAATTATCCAACATTATTAATGTCTAAGCTAGTTGCCTAGAATTTACATAGAAGTTGTAAGCAAATTAAATAACCAAATCTTTGAATTCGTAGTTTGCATAAATAATCTGCATTATCCCAGCCATGCACTTAATCCAGGTCAAAGTTTTATAAATACAGATAGACAAGAGATAATCTTTTGATCTTGCCAAAATCAACAGCCCAGCCCAGAATGAAGAACAATTAAAATAAAATGCGGTAGTATTATGATCATTTTGCATAAGGTCACAATTTAAGGTGCATAAATTCAAAATTTAAGGTGTAAAAGTTTATAACTTTCAAAAAAAAGTTTGTAGCTTAAGGTGTGTAAGTTTATAGCGTTAGGTGCCTAAGTTTAAAGTTTAATGTGCGTAAAGTTTATAGCTTAAGGTGCGTAAAGTTTATAGCTTAAGGTGCGTATGTTTAAAATTTAAGGTGCATAAGTTTATAGCTTAAGGTGCGTATGTTTAAAGCTTAAGGTGCATTATTTTCCAACTTAAGGTGCATAAGTTCGAAGCTTGGTGTGTAAGTTTATAGCTTTAGGTGCCTACGTTTAAAGCTTAACTAAGGTGCATAAGTTTATAGCTTAAGGTGTGTATGTTTAAAGCTTAAAGTGTTTCACTTTAATTTCTAGTTTAAGGTACATCAATTTAACTCTTAAGTGTGTATGTTTAAAGCTCACCGTGCATTATTTTCCAGCTTAAATTAAAGTGCATAAGTTCGAAGCTTAAGGTGCGTCAATTCAAGCACTGCTAGAAATTATGAAATTTCCGACCACCTGAAAGTGATCTTATATCAATTCGAAAGCAAAAAGTGATCGGAAATAGCAACAAATGTTTTTCCGGATAACAAAAGTGGTCGGAACAAGGCTTTTGACTTGATTCAAGATAATTTTCAGGTGGTCGGAAATTTCATAATTTCCAACATTTTTTTTGGTGTCAACCACACATGGTGGTCCGGGTCTTTCTCTGTCAGTTTAACGGTCCAGGTCCACCTGGTTCCCGGTTCGCTCCGAGAGGCACAGAAGCTGGCCCAAAGGGGATCGTCACTTGTCGGGATCGAACCCGGGTTATCCCAAAATTTTTCCCCACAAAGAAAGCTCATTTGCCACTTGAGCTACCCTGTTGGGTTCATAATTTTCAACATTGAAGACACTTGATCATTTACATTTATGTTGTCAGAAAGAGGGTTTTTTTTTTCCTTCAATTTAAGTCATTGATCTAGATTAAATCAACGGCTCAAATCTCACCTAATTTTTCACTTGGGAGAAACTTCATGAACCATCCCTTATAAGAAGATAGTTGTAAACAAATGATCAATTCTTTTTGACATTGCAACTAACTTGCCCTATTCCCCGGCCGCCCTTGGTCCTGGTCAAGATAATTTTTTTTTTTAAATGCTGACGAAACAAGCAAGTATAGCTATGCTCAAGCTGATGAACTCATGGTGGTGAAGTGAAGAGAAGAAAAATGGAGAGTGTTCACTGTTGCATTCATCTGGAAGATCGGAAAGTGAAGTTACAAGCCAAAGAAGGATAACTGCCATCCTTTATACTGAGGAGGCAGTTATAACAGAAAAAACAGAAATACAAATAAGCTAGAAAAGACAAGATTGCCCTCAGCTTCATTCTTCACCCTTTCTCATTGGACATGGCAGTATCACATCTATCCTTCATCACCCCCCCGTAAGCTGGAGCATGGATGTCTCGCAAGCCCAGCTTAAGTTGAAAGATGTCAAAGGCAGGAGTACTCAAAGCCTTTGTGAAGCCATCAGCAACTTGTTGCCTTGAAGGAATGGGTAGCAGCTTGACCAATCCTTCATTAACCTTCTGCTTGACAATGTGGCAGTCTATTTCTATATGTTATGTTCGTTCATGGAACACATGATTCTCTCCAATGGCTATTGCTGAACGATTATCACAGAATAGAGTAGCAAGATCATCAAAGTTCACTTGTAAGTCTGTAAGCAAATAATAGAGCCATTGGATTTCACATACAGTGGATGCCAAAGCCCTGTATTCAGCTTTAGAGGAGGACTTGGAGACAGTGACTTGCTTCTTAGTTCTCCAAGAGATTAGATTAGGTCCAAGATAAACACAATAGCCTGTGATTGACTTCCTGGTATCTGAACAATTTGCCCAATCTGAATCTGAAAAACCTTGCAATTTGAGCTGAGAATTTTTATGGTAGAAGAGTCCTTTTCCTGGGGATTTTTTGAGGTATCTTAACACCCTGTGTGCAGCAATGAGATGAGTGTCTCTGGGTTTATCAACAAATTGGCTCAATTGTTGGACAACATGGGATATATCTGGCCTGGTGTTGGTAAGGTACAAGAGTTTGCCAATCAATCTTCTATATTCTTCAGGATTAGCAATAAGAGACCCTTCTGTTTTATTGAGTTTGGAACCTGGAGTGGCTGGGCTGCTAGCAGGTTTTGATTCCAGAAAACCATACTCCTTTAAGATGTCCAGAGTATATTTCATTTGAAACAAGCTGACCCCATCATTAGAGTTAAAGGCCTCAATTCCCAGAAAATAGTGAAGGGAACCAAGGTCTTTTATCTTGAAAGACACATCTAGGAATGTCTTTAGGGCTTTGATATCTTCTGGATCAGTCCCAGTAACAAGGATATCATCCACATATATGAGTAAGGCTGTGAAGAAAGTACCTGAGGCTTTGGTGAATAGAGAGGGGTCTGCTGTGGACTGATGGTATCCATTTTCTAACAGAGCCTTTGTCAATTTGAAGTTCCACTGTCTGCTGGCCTGCTTTAAACCATACAGAGACCTTAACAATTTGCACACCTGCTTAGGCTTCTCACTATGAAACCCTGGTGGTAAGACCATATACACCTCTTCATTGAGGTCCCCATGGAGGAAAGCATTGTTGATGTCCAACTGTTGGATATCCCATCCCCTTGCAATGGCCACAGCTAGGAAGGCTCTTATGGTGGTCATTCTTGCAACAGGTGAAAAGGTCTCATTATAATCCACTCCCATTTGCTGTGTATAACCTTTGGCCACAAGTCTGGCTTTGTACCTCTCTATAGTACCATCAGCCCTGTGTTTCACTTTAAATACCCATTTGCATGCAATTGGGATTTTGCCCTCAGGGAGATCTGTCAGCAGCCAAGTACCATTTGCAATTAAAGCTTCTATCTCATTGGACATAGCTTGCCTCCATGACTCAAATTTAGCAGCTTCACTATAAGACTGTGGCTCATGAGTAGATAAAATGGATGATGCACAGACCTTATAACTCATAGGAAGAGAATCATAAGATATGACATTATCCAAAGAGTGTGGAGAGGTTTTCTTCTGTGACTGAGTTGTGAGAAAGGACTGGCAGTAATAATCTTGTAATTTTGTTGGCAAATTTCTCATCCTTCCAGACCT